AATTTGAGATATCTCTAAACATGGGCAGGAAAACAAGAACAGTCTATCCCTGTAGATTAAAATAAAGGGTTCAGTTTGGAATTCCCTGTAGGTTACCCAGATCGGTATACATCTGATGAAAGGAGGGCAAAACTTCCATGTTGTGATAATAACAATAAAGATCAGGACAATAGTCTGCATAGAAATAGTGTAAGTAATAATTACTCATCTCAGAAACACAAAGTAATTTTACATGTCTTTTCTAAAAACTTATTTTTGTTTATTTTTTTTTTTGTGTTTATTTTTATTTTTTTATTTTTGTCTGTTTACTTATTTTTTGACTTATTTTCGACTTATATTTACTTATTTTTTTACTTGTGTTTAATTATTTTTGACTTATGTTTTTAAATTTGTTTTTTTTTTACTTATTTACTATATTTTTTACTTCTGTTTACTTATTTTTTTCTTTTGTTTATATTTTTTTAGTTTTACTTTGTATTTTTTTTTTTTTACTTGTGTTTACTTACTGTTTTACTTGTGTTTACTTATATTTTACTTGTGTTTGCTTATTTCTTTTTACTCGTGTTTACTTATTTTTTACTTGTGTTTACTTATTTTTTACTTGTATTTACTTATTTTTTACTTGTGTTTACTTATTTTTTACTTATTTTTTGACTTATGTTTACTTATTTTTTGACTTGTGTTTACTTATTTTTTGTCTGTATTTACTATATTTTTTTAGTTCTGTTTACTTATATTTTTCTTGTGTTTACTTATTATTTTTACTTGTATTTACTTATTTTTTACTTGTGTTTACTTACTGTTTTACTTGTGTTTACTTATATTTTTTACTTATGTTTACTTATTTCTTTACTTATTTTTTTTTTACTTATTATTAGTAGATGGTTTTTGACCTGGCTGAAACCTTATTTTTGTCATTACAAACTATATATATTTTTGGGGTATTTACTTATTATTTTTACTTGAATTGACTTATTAAAAAATGATTCCATTTTACTTATTTTTTGTAGCAGAACTTATCCCAATTTTATGGCTTATTTTTTAAATTGTGACAACATTTATTTTTTTACTTGTGTTTTATTTATTTCCCCAGACTTGAAACCAAACAATTATTTTTTTGTCTGTATTTACTATATATATTTTTCTGATGTTTACTTATTATTTTTACTTGTATTTACTTATTTTTTTACTTGTGTTTACTTATTTTTTGACTTATGTTTACTTATTTTTTAAATTGTGTTTACTTATTTTTTACTTGTGTTTACTTATTTTTGACTTGTGTTTACTTATTTTTTGTCTGTATTTATTATATTTTTACTTGTGTTTACTTTTTATATTTTTCTTGTGTTTACTTATTATTTTTTACTTATTTTTTACTTGTGTTTACTTACTGTTTTACTTGTGTTTACTTATATTTTACTTGTGTTTGCTTATTTCTTTTTACTCGTGTTTACTTATTTTTTACTTGTGTTTACTTATTTTTTACTTGTATTTACTTATTTTTTACTTGTGTTTACTTATTTTTTTACTTATTTTTTGACTTGTGTTTACTTATTTTTTGTCTGTATTTACTATATTTTTTTAGTTTTGTTTACTTATATTTTTCTTGTGTTTACTTATTATTTTTACTTGTATTTACATATTTTTACTTGTGTTTACTTACTGTTCTACTTCTGTTTACTTATATTTTACTTGTGTTTACTTATTTCTTTTTACTTGTGTTTACTTTATATTTACTTGTGTTTACTTATATTTACTTGTGTTTACTTATTATTAGTAGATGGTTTATAACAAGGGTGAAACCCGACTTTATGACCATTACAAACAATTACATCCTCTTGATGGGGATCTATTTAGCAGATTGTTTTTAACAAAACTGAACCCTGACTTTGTGACCATTAAAAATGATTCCATTTTCTTGATTATAAAATGGTAACCAATGTAGTAGCAGAACTGATCCCAATTTTATGGCTATTAAAGAAAAGATGACAACATTAATGAAGAGGAATTTAAAGATGCTGATGATGACTAAAATAGAAAACAATACCATATGTTCCCAGATGAGAAACCAAACAATTAATAGATTTACCTGATAATGAATGTATAGCTTCCAGGTGAGAATTGAATGTGGAACGTGATCAAACTCAGCAATAATAATTGTTTCAAGTGAAATTAAATTAATCTTTGCTTATCAAGATGAAAGGTAATTTAATTAGGTTACAAATTGTAAACGGCAGATCTTTAATTTGTTCAAGATATATATACAATCAATAAAATCTGTTGTTTGCTACTTTTTGCAAAGATAATGCCACATGTCACAGACAAAGGTGGTAAAGAGTTTTATAGCTGCAAGATTTTGTTATGGATTTTGCAAACACTTAATCCAATATAAAATCTTTACTAAACCTTTGAAAATGTACACACATACATGCACACACATATATCTAGAAGAATATCTAAAATATCTATATCTAGAATATATATATATATATATATATATATATATATATAAATATTGATAGATAGATAGATAGGCAGTGTTTTGACGATTGTGCCTTTTTGACGTTCCAAATTTGAAAACAGCCTAAACAATTGTTATGATTCTTTTTTTGACTTTAATTGTTTTAGGTATTTTATATTTATGTTTACATATGCTCTATTTCTGATTTTTGAGCATTTTTATATTAGGTTTTAAATTTTGTCCCAGTTTTAAACTGTATATATATATTATATATATATATATATATATATATATATATATATGTGTGTGTGTGTGTGTGTGTGTGTGTATGATTGGACACTGAGGTTCACACACTGATAATGGCAGTCTGTTTCATGCTTGAAGACAATCTTCAGGCCATGGTGTTGAGTTCAGTGCCCACTCTTATATTTACACATGATCTGTCCCCGATATTGAGCACTTTGAGCTATAAATATGGCATACATTTAAACTACATTTTTTTTCATATATATATATATATATATATATATATATTACTTCAAGTGTTATTACAGTTGATAGTTTGTATTAATGTTCAAAGTAATAATATATATATATATATATATATGATATATATGTGTGTGTGTGTGTGAAATAGTGTATGTGTGTGTGACAATTGTTTAATATAAGTGAAATTGTAAATGGACAATTTTTTAATATATTTATTTATTTATACATTAATTTTATGCAAATATTTACACATTATTTTTATACAAATATTTATACATTTATACAAATATTTAAGTAAAGGCTCCATTTATCATAAATAAATAAATAAATATGTGTCCTCTGACAGGAATTGAAGCTGTATCCTATACAGAAATGTCATATAGCCTGATGTGCGATACCATTTAGCTACAGAAGAAAATTTCTTGACATTCAGGCCAGTAAATGTTGTTAATACTGTTTATTACAAACAGACTATTTACTTAAATATTAGTTTCTATGAAATAACATATAAACAATAGAAATATATATATATATATATATATATATATACACACACACACATATATATACACATGTATACATATATATATATATTATAAATTTACTAATTTGGAAATGTGGTTCCATCGCTACACAGGAATTACCATGTTTCAAAAACAGACACTAAAAACTTCAAATTCTTAAATTAGTAAATTTATAATATTTATGCTCTGTAAATTTGCATTGAGCACTGTTTTGTGAAAATAAAAATAATTAATAAGAAACAACAGACTGTCTTACTGCTCTTTCTCTTTATTAAAATATATATATATATATATATATATATATATATATATAGTGTGTGTGTGTGTGTGTGTGTGTGTGTGTATTTAGTCTGCCGAAAGCATGTGACCATAGAAAAAACGCATATATGGAAGGTAGCATGACATCTAATTGATCACTATTTCTAGCCTATCCTTTATTGTTTCTACTTTATCCTCTATTACTATATGGACCACTATTCTTTACTCTGTTCACTATACTATTTCTCTATTTGGATCACTATTCAGTGATTATTAATCGAGTGAGTATTATTGAGCAAGTACTATTAGTGCAAGTGTTATTCAAAGACGTCTGGCACCAGTTTGTTTAACAGCATTACTATAGTTGTATCGGTGATTTCAAAGTCTCTACTACAATGAGTATTACAAAAGTGACAACAAGTATACATTGACATCATAAAAGAAAGAAAGAAAGAAAAGAAGGTTGGTTGATTTTGTGTAACAGCATATCAATCTCTATGTGTTATTTAATGCTGAAATCTAATATTTTGAATGCAGTTGTATGCCTTCAATTAGAGATAAAATGTATCATTGGTCATTTTGCCTTAAATATGGTGATTATTTTTTTTTTAAATGTAGCTTAGATGTGGAACAAGGTTGAATGTATGGTGCACCCAATGGGGATCCAACTCACACTGTTTTAATAGCCTTAGGAAGACAAGCTTGATAACCATTGAGGTGCCCATTTCTGCCTTAAATATGTATTGTTGGTGTAGTATCATATGCAAATTAGATAGACTAGTATAAATAGAGAACAACTGGTGAACATTGGGTGGCTATGTCTACTATTACACAGAGATATATGCAAAACATAACAGTTGGTAATTTTATTATGAAAATGGACTGTTGATTTTTTTTGGGAGTTAACTATTTACCCATAGCTTGAACCCTAACGGGTGCTACCACCCCAGATCAGGGTGGACCTGGGAACAACAGCAGTTAAGTGATCATTCAATGCTCCTCAAAATTTCCTGATCAGAGGCCTTGCTGCTGGATGTAGTTTATCATCATACCCAGGATCAAGAAAAAGAAAGAAAGAAAAAATAAAAAAAACAAAAACAAAAAAAGCAAAAAGAAAGAAAGAAAGTAAAAGAAAAGAAAGAAGGAAGAAAGAAAGAAAAAGCGTTTAATCTTTCTTTCTTTCTTATTTCCTTTTGTCAAAATTTCTAAGCACTATGCCAGTTTACAAGAATGGTGAATCAGACAAAACATTAACCACAATATCCTAATCAAAGCGAGGGGAAGAAAGAAAGGAAAGGAAAAGGAGAAAGAGTGAAAAATAAAAGGAAAGAGAAAGTGAGAAAAAATGAAAAAGAAAAGAAAAAAGGGAAACAGAAAGAATGAAAAAAGAGAGAAAAAAGAAAGAAAAGAAAAAAGAATGAAAAAGGGAAAAGAATTAGAAAAGAAAGAAAGGAAAGAGAAAGAGATAAAAATGAAAAAGAAAGAAAGAAAGAAAAGACAAAAGAGAAAGAATGAAAGAAAAAAGAAAAAGAAAATAAAAAAAGAAAGAGAAAGGGATAAAGAATGAAAAAGAAAACAAAAGAAAGAAAGAATGAAAAATAAAAATAAAAGAAAGAAAGAATGGAAAGAAAAAGGGAGAAAGAGTGAAAAAAAAGAAAAAGAAAAGAAAGAAAGGAAAAAGAAAAGAAAAAAAGGAAAAAGAAAAGAAAGAAAGGAAAAAGAAAAGAATGAAAAATGAACAAAAAGGAAAAAGAAAAAAGAAGGAAGAATGAAAAAAGAAAGAATAATAACTGAATATTTTGGGAAATAAATAAAAATTTTAATTTATGGATGGGCATTTTGGAGAAGGGTTGTAAGGGAGATAATTCACAATATTTTTTAAAAATAATTATTCACAAAATCTGGCAAAATTTTGTATTGCCTTGAAAAAAAAATCTTCTGCCTTTTGATGACTTCTAAATAATAAATTGAAATATGATGATTACTTTGATACAAAGAGAATAATTTATGAATAAACATTAATGAATTTCTCAGCAGGCCGTAAAAATGAGTCAAGAAGCAAATAAATTCACAAATAAGAAAATAAACATAATGAAACTCCCACATGTTTCTCTTACTTCAATCAATCCGCAATGTAAAAATGTCACCAGATGCACCAACCTACCTTTTCGAGGCCGACCAAGTGGGCACAGTATGATTGCATTTGTTGATCTTCAATATAAAAGAGTTATCTTACCTACAATGAAAAGAGAAATAATAAAAGTAAATGAACATGCTATAAATCTCATTTTGGTGGAGAGAAGAAATTATTTCGCTTCTCAGATAAAAGAAGTTACAGTTTAGTTGGTATTCCATTGAATGCAAAACAGGTTTCAATATAAAATGTAATTTCAGGAATTCATCTTTTTTTGCTAAACCACAGAAAAGAAAACTGTTTCCTTTTCTTTTATAGCAAATATTTGAATAATGATTTTGCATAAGCAGAATTATAAAAAGCAAATGCAAAGAAAATTATTCTCTGGGAGGTAAAACAATGCCTTCATTTATAATTAGACAATAATAATAATAATAATAATAATAATAATATCATTATAGGGGATCTTCATTTGGTGCTATTTTGCTTATTTGTTTCAATGTTGTCTTAAATTTTTTTTTCATTTTGCTACTTTTTGATTCAGTTGAAATCTCATGCATATTTTCTGTCAGATTTCTTTATCATTCTTCAACTCCTTTTGTTTACTTCAATTTTATAAGTTTTTTTTTTTTTCATTTTTTGCAAACCTTTACACCAAAACTTATTTCATATACACGCCTAAATACTATATTATCCTTTTATAATTATACTTGCTATTTCTTTTATTAGTTATTTTATTTTTATGTACCATGTCCTTTCAGGATGTAGGCGATCATAGCTCTCCATCTCCCTCTATTCCTTGCAACTCTCAACAAGTTCCTTCCCTATGCTTCCTCCCCCAGACCACGTTCTGTCATCCACCTGCTCAAGCTCGCCAGGTATGTCACGTACTGCTTTCCCTTGTCTCTCTTCCCCTCTATTTGACCCGTGATTATCAGGTTCTTCAGGCTCTCCTTCCTCATTATGTGTCCCAGAAACTTCAGCTGCCTCTTTCTGATGTTAAATATAAGCCTCTTCCTTGTTTGTAACCTCTCTAAGACCTCATCGTTGCTCACAACTTGTTCCATGATATCCTTATCATCCTTCTGTAGAACCACATTTCCATCACCTCAAGTCTCTTCTTCATCTTTGAGGAAATCATCCAACATTCGCTGCCGTAAAGAAGGACAGATGTCCCGTAACAGCTCAGTATTAGTTTCTTTGTTACCAAAGAAATTTATTAGTTCACATGACCATAATGCCCTGCCAAAACCTCTTGAATAATGGACTATTCCATTTTGATTGCATAGAAGGAGGGGAAATACAGTGCTTGATTGTAATGAGAAAGTGATAGAAAAAAAGAAAGAAAGAAGTGGAGATAGATGTAGAGAGAGAATCAGATGAAGTTGATAAGAACAGATACTACACTTTGATCGTAGCCAAAAGGCCGAGGAATGACTGTATTTTCTAGCTGCTCCACAATGGCAGGATATGACACAAGGTCAGTTTAATGTGAGAAGCCAGAGCACATGCACGTGGACCAGGTCCAAAAATATCCCAACCACACAACAGTTGGTTGTGCTGGTATCGGTATTATTACCTCTCCTCCCTCCGGAGAAAGGGTTGTATGTGGGAGTTACTCTCACAGGCAGCTGTTTCCCAAGACTAAGCACCTCTTAATATTATTTTCAGTTACGCTCTATTTGCAGACAGATGCACAACTGAGTTGCACTCTATTCCAAGGCAGACACACAACTGAGAGATGAAATGTAGTTTATCTATCTTAGAGCAGATTCTACACTCTGATCCAAGCCAAAAGTCTGAGAAGCAAGGACGACAGTGTAAAATACACCATTTTTCAGATGCACAATATCAAATGACAGAAATCAAGAAAGGCAATCGCCAAAAATCCAGTTACCATAAATAAAATAACATCGTCTGTGGAATTATTAAGATAAATGTTCATAAGATGGAAATTTGATTAGTATCACATTAATAATCAATAATTTATATTTCTGTTAAATTAAATGTGTCTAAAGTTAGCGAAATCAGTCACTTGCACTTTCAAACTATATTTTGAATATGGTTTAGAAATCTCCCTTTTTAAGTGCCATGTCCATTCAGACTGTGGTTGATCATGGCACTCCACAGCTTCCTTTTTATCTTTAATATTTGTAAGAATAGACTATTAAAAGTGTTACAGCAGATATGTAGATGAAACTTGTATGACTGATTTTTTTACGGTTTATCAACCTTTTTGACAGTTATTTGAAAACCAGAAATATTATTAGATTTTTTGGAGGTAATACTGATTTACTGATATAACTCCTACTAATTAATCCATAGCTGGAGAGAAAAGAATATATTTGAATGTAAGAGAACATAGCAAAACCCAACTGGAATTGGAACTTGATTCTCTGGTTTCCAATTCCAAGCCATTATCGATTACACCAGCTGCACATTCAAGCTTACAGCACTTGGTATTCCCAAGTAGTCACTGGCCTAGTACTGACCAGGCTCAACATTGCTTACCTTCAGTGATTATATGAGAACCAGTGTTTCAATGTGATATGGCCATAAGCCAATGAAAGATGTAGGAATTAAATAAAAGATTATGCGAACATTTTTTTTTAAGCGATTCACCCGAAGCAAGGCGAGAAGCCACTAGGACGCAAGGGGTTACAGAAGATTTGGAGCAAGATCAGATAGGAGTGATAGAGGAAAGGTTGAGGAGAAGGGTAGTGGATAGATCAAGGCAACTGGAGATGTCGATTGACATTACATTTGAATAGTTGGAGATTATAGCCCTCAGGGAAACTGAAATAGAGAAGGGAGATTCACAGGCGAGAGGTGCAAGATATGAAGCTGTTGGAGTAGAAGAGATGGCTACATTTAATAGTTTTGACAGTGAAAGGGTGAGAGCGGGGTGCCAGCCTCGTAAAAGGATATGTCTTACAAAACACTCACTGAATTTATCTTTCATCATAATAGGTCTGGCCTTAATTTGGACTTAAAGAATAGAGTTTTAATTTAAGGAGAAAGTAGTTTATTAAGGTGAAAATGTATAGAAACTGCACTAATGTCTGAATCTTCGATGGTAAATCTTATATCCTGGCTATACAGCATATCACCTGTCCTTAAAAACTACTGTTAATACCATGTAGAATGTGTAAAAAAAAAAAAAACAGCAACAAAAACTAAAAAAAAAATGATAGAAAACTGAATAAGTTCAGCTAATTTATGCCTCTTGATACATCAGATGCTGAAAATTTTAAATTTAAATCTAAAGTTAAGTGTCCCTGTATCTACCAGATTTCTCAATGGAGAATTGTAAAAGAGATTTGTTTTATTTTCTGGCCCTTCTCCACATATATAAGATTCCACTGTTAAAAACATTATTTATTCTGTAGAAGTCCTTTGGAAGGACAAAATGCATAACATTTCTTTACATATTTTGTCATTCAATTATCTGCATATTAAAGTATATCAAAAATATTTTCATTTTTTACAGGTCTTTACTTTGAACATTATTTCATGTGTTGATCTACTCCCATACATGCCTGTGAGTTACCTCCCTTTTGATAATCTGAAGATATTCACAAGTGACCTCAATTGGTGATCAATGTGCTTTATGATATATCTTAACATCATGTACATCTTTAAAGAATAGGACAATAGTACAGTGCCGTTCAATAAAAGTGACTCACCTGATTTTTTTTACTAAATGTTCTCTTCTCCAATGAAATAAAAGTTGAGCTAAATTCAAAGGATAAGTGATCTAAAATCCGAAGAAGAAGCTTTGAAAGCTCTTTGAATTTAGCAGTAAGTACTGTCAAGCATCCAGGATTATGAGGAGGAGGAAGAGAATATTGTAGTAATATGAGGAGAGGGAAGAGTAGATTCCAGGATTTTGAGGAGGAGGAAGAGAACATTTTAATAATATGACAAGAAGGAGTAGATTGCAGGATTATGAGGGTGAAGGAAACATTGTAGCAGTATGAGGAGAAGTAAGAGAAGATTTGTGGATTATGAGAAAGAGAAGATTGCAGAAATATGAGAAGGAGAAGAAGATGATGAGGAGGAGGAAGAGAAATTTTAGCAACATGAGAAAAAGCAAAAGAAGATTCCAGGAAAAGGAGAAAGAAAATAAATTGTAGCAAGAAAAGAAGATGGAAGAGAAATTATCAGCATTATGAAGAGGAGGAAGAGAACATTGTAGCAATATGAGGAGAAGAAAAAGAAGATTCCAAGATTATGAGGAGGAAGAATAAAAGATTGTAGAAATATGAGGAGAGGGAAGAGAAGATTCCAGGATTATGAAGAGGAGGAAGAGAACATTGTAGCAAAATGAGGTGAAGGGAGAGAAAATTTCAACATCAACTTCAACTAATAATAAATTTTTAAGGTAAAGAGGAACCTAAATAAAAATCAGAAAGTGCCAACTGCAAATTCTGGGATGCATAACATGGAAAGAAGCCTTGGAGAATTAGATACTCACATGATATACTGTAGGCAAGTTACCAATTCGTTATGAGAGAATGGTTATCAAAAGAAAGACAAAAAGTGATGGTAAAGGAGAAAATTTACATAAAGCAATATAAGACAGGATGCTGTGGGGGGCCATGATCACCTGTATCATGAAAGGAAAGGAGATGTGGGTTCTCATAATGGTTGTGAGCATGATAAACAGAATTACATTAAAAATTTGTATTAGGCTGCGTATGTTCACTTATAAAAGGTTTGAAACCACTTTTGTCTGTTCTCTGTCCCATCACCAGATATACTGAAAAAAATGTCTTATTAGCTTAAAAGTATTGATGGCATGGTTAAGTGAGCACAGACGAAACCAGACACCTGTAACTATTAACGATATTATTAAAAGCTATTGCCTTTATAGTTACCCTTGTCCAGAACAAATAAAAAGGCATCTCTTTTTGGTGTTGCATCAGCTTTGGTCATTGGCTATGTGTTGCTCAGCAATTTTTGCAAGCATGAATAAATGCATTGCTGCACTCAGTCAAAGCCTTTTGTTCTTAGGGTCTTTTTCAATTCCTTTCTTTGGTGCATGCATTAGGCTTGGTGGAAATTTAATTCATCAAGAGCATTCAAACAAAATTATTTGAAGAGACGAATTCAAATCAAAATTGATACCATTTATTGATGTCTCAACGGTTGGGCCACTATTCCTGCTGACAAAATGAAGCAAAGATGAAAAGCAGAGACAATGATAAAAAAGAGGGAGTAGAAGTGATGATAGGAAAAAACTGAAAGAAAGAAGAACATATGACTAGGATGAGGAAAGAGGATCAGCAGAGTGTAGTAATATGAGGAGAAGGAAGAGAAGATTTATAAGGTGGAGAAAGAGAAAATTGTAGTGATATGAGGAGAAGGAAGAGAAAATTTATAAGGTGGAGAAAGAGAAAATTGTAGTGATATGGGGAGAAGGAAGAGAAGATTTATAAGGTGGAGAAAGAGAAAAATTGTAGTGATATGGGGAGAAGGAAGAGAAGATTTATAAGGTGGAGAAAGAGAAAATTGTAGTGATATGGGGAGAAGGAAGAGAAGATTTATAAGGTGGAGAAAGAGAAAATTGTAGTGATATGGGGAGAAGGAAGAGAAGATTTATAAGGTGGAGAAAGAGAAAATTGTAGTGATATGGGGAGAAGGAAGAGAAAAAAGGTGGAGAAAGAGAAAATTGTAGTGATATGGGGAGAAGGAAGAGAAGATTTATAAGGTGGAGAAAGAGAAAATTGTAGTGATATGGGGAGAAGGAAGAAGATTTATAAGGTGGAGAAAGAGAAAATTGTAGTGATATGGGGGAGAAGGAAGAAGATTTATAAAAGGTGGAGAAAGAGAAAATTGTAGTGGTATGAGGAGAAGCAAGAAGAAGATTTATGAGGTGGGTGGAGAAAGAGGAAATTTTAGTGATATGAGGAGAAGGAAGAGAATATTCATGAGGTGGAGAAAGAGGAAATTGTAGTGATATGGGGAGGAGAAGGAAGAGAAGGAATGAGGTGGAGAAAGAGGATATTGTAGTGATATGGGGAGGGGGAAAGAGAAGATTTATAAGGTGGAGAAAAGAAAAATTGTAGTGATATGGGGAGAAGGAAGAGAAGATTTATGAGGTGGAGAAAGAGGAAAATTTTAGTGATAGGAGAGGAGGAAGAGAAGATTTTATAAGGTGGAGAAAAGAAAATTGTAGTGATAAGGGAGAAGGAAAAAAGATTGCAGGATCATGAAGAGGAGGAGGAAGAGAAAATTGTAGCAATATGAGGAGGAGAAAAGAGAGAAGATTGGGGAGAAGGAGGATGATGAGGAGAAGGAAGAAGAAGAAAGCAAATGAGAAGAGAAAAAGAAAAATTCAAGCATTTTAAGGAGGAGAACAAGATTCTAGAGATATAAGGAGGAAAGAAAAAGGTTCCAGCATTATAAGGGGAGAAGGAAGAGAGGAAAAGAGAAAGAGAAATATGAGGAGAAGGAAGAGAAGATTTCAGATTTATGAGGTGGAGAAAGAGAAAATTGTAGTGATAGAGGAGGAGAAGGGAGAAGAGAGAAGATTAAGGTGGAGAAAGAGAAAATTTAGTGATATGAGGAGAAGGAAGAGAAGATTTATGAGGTGGAGAAAGAGAAAATTGTAGTGATATGGGGGAGAAGGAAGAGAAGATTTATAAGGTGGAGAAAGAGAAAATTGGAGTGAGGAAGGAGGAGAAGGAAGAGAAGATTTATGAGGTGGAGAAAGAAGGAAATTGTAGTGATATGGAGGAGAAGGAAGAGAAGATTTATGAGGTGGAGAAAGAGAAAATTGTAGTGGTATGGGAGAAGCAAGAGAAGATTTATAAAAGGTGGAGAAAAGAAAATTGAAATTGTAGGATATGAGGAGAAGGAAAGAAGAGAAGATTTATGAGGTGGAGAAGAAAATTGTAGGATATGAGGAGAAGGAAGAGAAGACTTATAAGGTGGAGAAAGAGAAAATTGTAGTGATATGAGGAGAAGGAAGAGAAGATTTATGAGGTGGAGAAATAGAAAATTGTAGTGATATGAGGAGAAGGAAGAGAAGATTTATGAGGTGGAGAAAGAGAAAATTGTAGTGATATGGGGAGAAGGAAGAGAAGATTTATAAGGTGGAGAAAGAGAAAATTGTAGTGATATGAGGAGAAGGAAGAGAAGATTTATGAGGTGGAGAAAAAGAAAATTGTAGTGATATGAGGAGAAGGAAGAGAAGATTTATGAGGTGGAGAAAGAGAAAATTGTAGTGATATGAGGAGAAGGAAGAGAAGATTTATAAGGTGGAGAAAGAGAAAATTGTAGTGATATGAGGAAAAGGAAGAGAAGATTTATGAGGTGGGAGAAAGAGAGAAAATTGTAGTGATATGGGGGAGAAGGAAGAGAAGATTTATAAGGTGGAGAAAGAGAAAATTGTAGTGAGAAGGAGGAAAAGGAAGAGAAGATTTATGAGGTGGAGAAAGAGAAAAATTGTAGTGGGAGGAGAAAGAAGAAGATTTAGAGGAGGTGGAGAAAAGAGAAAATTGTAGTGATATGAGGAGAAGGGAAGAGAAGATTTATGAGGTGGAGAAAAAGAA